TATATATAATTATTTTTTTACTTTTTGATGGCTGACAGTTGTTGTACAGGCAGGTTGGAAAGGCAATTGCATGCCATTAAAAATTCTGCTTTTGTGTTCCACTGGAAAAATAACAGCATAGAGGTTCAAAACAAGATGAGGGTAAATAAATAATGATATTTAATGCTAAACTATTTCTCTATAGTGGCTCTGAAGTATGTATTGAATATTATATTTTGGCGTTCTCACATCATCAGAGGAATACATACACTTCATTCCAGAACCACTAACGAATTTGACTGTCATTAAAATCATGTTTCCTGCATTTTTTCCTATTCAGTTCCAAAAATGGAATTGGTTGTGAATAATTGGTGCTTGTTTCCCAATGCAGAGTGTTGTGATACCGTTGCAAAAGAAATTACTATTTAAAATGTACAAATTTAAAATATTAAAATACAATCCTAATACAAGCTGATGCAAAAGTTACAAGTGTTTTTACTTGTAAAGATTTCTCTGTCCAGGTCTTCCCATGTGTTCATTACTCACGTAGTGTCTGTGGAAAGAATAGATTTTAGATGTGGAAAGTTTGACAATAAAGGCACATGAGAGGAAAAGAAGACTGTTCTACTTTTTCATACGCACATGGAATCTTTGGTTACTTTTGAGATGTATATCACTTCCCATTTGCCTGAGGTGATGGGTGTTGCTTTTCCCTACAAAGAAAACAACAGTTAACAGACCAATAACTTGCTAAGCTTGTACCACACTGTGTCTTTGTGTCTGACTTTTAATGGTTATTAGCCAAAGGATATAACACATTATATAGCCTGTGATACAGTGTAATGATATATCTGAGGTTTGCACGATAGATCGCAACAGTGATCGCCTACTGTTTCAGTGACATTTGTTATGGATGTATTTATCCCATTCATATTATCCTTAGGGATTTCAAAATCTTTTGTAATAAAGAGTTCAAAGTCATGCACCAAACCAACCTGCTCTAAGATGAATCACAACAATCTTCCATTTATTTATATATATATATA